GGATGCTCTTGATGGTGCAGCGGTAGAAGTTTGTAATGACCTCTGAGGACAGGTGGTTCTTCCTCAGGGTCCTCATGAAGATAAGCTTTGTCTTATTAGCATTAAGAACAGGTTTCAGCCAAAGTAATGAATGTTGGATGTTATCAGGCTGTTTGCAGTGAAATAAAAGATTTATTAGATAATGAATATTTTTATACTTACCAGACAAATACATTCAGACTTATAAAAGCATTTCTTGTCAATATCATGGTCTGTTAATGCATAAATACCAGAGATGGACATTTTTATTTGTTAAAATTGTTTTAAAATTTGGATGCTTTTTTATTGTTTTATCTGCATAAACAAATTTCACTCTGATCTTGCTGACTCCTGCAGGATTGTTTCAGTAGATGTGTAGGTTTTTATTTATTAGTTATAAATCAGTGGTTTATGTTGCAGAGCCTGGCTAAGCTGACGWTGAACTTCCAGAGCAGCCTGTCAATCACTGACTCGACCAGCGAGGCGGTGAACAGCACCGTAACCGTCGGAAACTCGTGCAATCTGCAGCAGTACTGTGACACCGGCTGTCAGACTGACATCATGGGAGAGGTAATGAGAACTACAACTCCTGCATTCTTGTCTGCAGCTCAAATATTAAATTTTTAAAGACTAAATTATCTGATTTACACAGAAACTGKTTTATTCTAATGCCTTCACATATCTTAAGCGACTAAGTGCAAATATTATGATATTGTTGAAGTTATCTGGCTGTTGATAGATGCTTTATCTTCTGTTTATCTGAAGTTTGCTTCTCAAAATTCCTCCCATCTGGTGGACAAGGTGAAACTAAACTGGCAGTACGAGGAAGCCAAGAAAAAGTAAGTGTGTGCAGAAGTTTGTTTTGCTTTTAGTGGCACCATAGCACAGAGGGCCGGGCGGCCCCCACTTCTTGCACCTCGGGCCGGGCCCTCTGAAGAGTGGGAGGGTGTGTTATGAATAGTATTTCTGCACGCTGGCCGTGGCTGCTGAAAGATAGCTGGCCAGCTGAAAAWGCTGGGTGGTCACATTCTTCTCTGGCCGTGCTGCTGTTGACTGTGGGCTCAACCAGAACCAGAACGGCCCACAGCCCACTGCTATAAGATGAACCAACACACATACACACTGCACAGATTTACAGTGTGTGTGTGTTCTAGCATTTGTTATAAAATATACTACCTTGGGAAGTTACTACYTTTTGGCTGCGTTATGGGTCATTCACAGMTTATGAAGTCCACTGCCACATGTCCTTTTGGAGAAAACTACAACAACTTAAGCACCAAGTATAAACACCTCCACCGCTGGTGAGGGTGCACCCTCACACCGTGTTCAACGCGTCAGCAATAAACCAGGCTTTAGGAAGCTTATGAAAGGTACAGGGGGGAATGTTACAGATGGAAATTTACGTTGAGTAAAAAAGAAAAAAATCTCTGGGTGGTCCAAAGATTGGCMGGGCGTCCTGAGGTGTCGCCAGCTGATAGAGGGTGTTGTAAAACAGAACAGGGCATCGTAAAAACACCCCGACGCCCCTCTAGCTAAATGGCTGCCCTCATAAGTTCTGATTTTTGATTATTTATTTCTACAAATTGTTTCCTTTGTCCAATATAGCTTTCGATAATAATTCGATATTTTTTTAAGTACAGACCGAATTCTGTTGGTACTACCTAGAACCTATTCACGTAACATCAAACGGTACTATGTTTCGGTACCTAAATGCATCATTGCGACCGTATTGGCGTGAGAGTGGTGAGTTTTACATGCTTGTCCTGAACGCAGCATCGCGCAAGAGCGTAATGACGTCAGCAGCTGCTGCTTCAGAGCTCAGTCTGCTTGAAAGCTAGCGAGCCTCGCAGCTCCTGGAGTAAACCTCGCCGAACAGACCGCCTCTGAATTATCTGGTGGATTAATTATCTTGTGAGCACGAT